TACACATACACATACAGATACACAAACATATACAGCCACACAAACACATACAGACACACAAACACATAGAGATACACAAATGCATAGATACACAACACATACAGATACAGAAACACATACAGTTACACAAACACATACAGACAACAAACACATAGATACACAACATAGACATACAAACACGTACAGATACACAGAAACATACAGTTACACAAACACATACAGACAACAAACACATAGATACACAACATACAGACATACAAACACGTACAGATACACAGAAACATACAGATACACAAACATATACAGACACAGATACACATACATATACACAAACACATATAATATAATAATCCTTGCATTTGATATAGCGCTTTTCACATCTTCTCGACGGCTCAAAGCGCTGCACAGGGTAGACTGTAAAGTGAATTGAGCGTATACAAACAAAATATACCGACGCACACATAAACACAAAAATACACATACACGCAAATACAGACACACATATAGACAAGCAACATATATAGACACATACAGACACACTCACAGACACACACACATATAGAGACACACACACATACACACATATACAGACACACACAGACATAAAGACACACATATACATACAGACCCACATACATACAAATACGCACCGACACGTACAAATACAGACACACATATACAGACACATACAGACAAACAAACATGCAGACACGCATTCCAACACACACATACAGACACACATACATATAGACACAAACACACATAGACACACATACACATCCAGACACACACATAGTCACATAAAAACACACATACACATACAAATCCATACATAGACACACATACATAAACACACACAGATACCCACACATACAGATACACATTCATATACACACACATACAAACACACACAGACAAATACACACAGACACACTCATACATACACACATACAGACATACGACAGACACACACACACAAATACAGAAACACACATAGATACATACACAGATACAGAAACACCCACATACAGACACACACACACACATACAGACAGACATATACAGACACACACACATACATAAAAATACATACACAGACACATACATACATACAGACACAGACAGACAGACACACACACACACACATACAGACACTCACATACATACAGATGCACACACATATACAGACACACACAGACACACATGCAGACACACAAACATACATCCAGATACACACACATATACAGACACACACAGACATAAAGATACACATACTCACAGACATAAAGATATAATCAGACAGACACACACACAGATACACACACATACATAAACACACACAGATACACACACGCACACAGACACAGACACATACACACATGCAGACACACACACATATACAAACACATACGCAGACACATGCAAAGTACTTATTCAGTACGTCAGCCATGCCCTCTGCCTCTATAAGATTTCCTCTTTGGTCCCTAATTGGACATACCTTAACTTTGACAAACCTTTTATTCTTTAAAATAAAATATGTTAGGGTTCCCTTTTATGTTACCCACAAATCTTTTCTCATATAATCTCTTTGCCCTTCTGATTTCCATTTTCAGTTCTCCTCAGCACTTTTATATCCTTTTTGATTATTTTCTGTATTTTGGAACTGACATTTATCATAAGCCTCCTTTTTACATTTTATTTTAATCCCTTTGTGGGAACGTATTTGTTCTATCACCGAACTGTCTCCTCCTTGAAGGCTTCCCATTGCTCATCAGTTGTTTTACCTGCAAATCTTTCTTTCCAGTACACCTTGGACAGGTCCCTGTTTAACTCACTGAAATTAGCCTCTTCTAGATGAGTATCTTCACCTTTGATTAGTCTAACAAATCTAATAGAATTTTTCGATGAGGTAACGGAGAGGGTCGATAACGGTAGTGCCGTTGATATAGTTTATATGGACTTTCAAAAGGCATTTGACAAAGTGCCACATGAAAGGATTGTAAGAAAGATAGAAGCCCACGGTATAAAAGGGACAGTGGCAGCGGATCCAGAACTCACTGGGAGACAGAAAGCAGAGAGTTGTGGTGAACGGCTGCTTTTCTGACCGGAGGGAAGTGTACAGTGGTGCCAGGGATCGGTATTAGGACCACTGCTCTTCTTAATACACATAAATGATCTGGACTTGGGTATAGCAAGTACCATTTCCAAGTTTGCGCATGACACAAAGTTAGGGAGGGGGTAAACAGTGAGAAGGACAGGAGCCGACTGCAGGAAGACATAGACAGATGGTAAAATGGGCGACACATGGCAGAGGAGTTTCAATGTGGAGAAATGTGAGGTACTGCATTTTGGTAGAAAGAATGAGGGGCAATATAGGCGGTAATACAATCTTAATGGGGTAAAACAACAGAGAGACCTGGGGGTGGGGGCAGGTAAATGAATCCATGAAGGTGGAAGGACAGGTAGATACAGCTGTAAAAAGGGCATATGAGATACTAGGCTTTATAAATAGGGGCATAGAGTACAAGAGTCAGGAGGTTATGATTAACCCATATAAACACTGGTTAGGCCTCAGTTAGAATACTGCGCCCAGTTCTGGGCACCACATGATAGGAAGGATGTTAAGGCATTGGAAAGGGTGCAGAGGAGATTTACGAGGATGGTACCAGGAATGAGGGACCGTGATGATGAGGAAAGGCTGGAGAGGTGAGGATTATTCTCATTGGAGCAGAGAAGGTTATGAGGACCTAATAGAGGTCTTCAATATCATGAGGGGATTTGATAGGTTAGAAAGTGAAAAACTGTTTCCACTGGTTGGTGTGTCGGTGACTCGAGGTCAGATTCAAAATAGTCTCTAAAGGAAGCCGAGGGGAGGTGGGAAGGAATTTCTTCACGCAGCGAGTTGTTGGAATCTGGAATGCATTGCCTGAAAGGGCGGTGGAGGCCGATTCGATAACTACTTTTAAAAATATGGTGGACGGGTATGTGAGGAGGACGGGTTTGCAGGTTATGGGGAAAGAGCTGGGGAGTGGGATTGACATTACATTGCTCTATTCAAGGAGATGGCACAAACTCGATGGGCCGAATGGCATCTTTTTGTGCTGTACGATTCTATGATTCTATGATTGTTCTTTGTCCCTTTCCATAGGTTCTCTAAACCTAATGATGTTGTGATCACTGTCATCCAGATGCTCTCCTACTGAAAGCTGTTCCAATTGCCCCACTTCATTCCCCAGAACTAGATCCAGCTCTGCTTCCTTCCTAGGTGGGCTGGAAACATACTGATCCAGAAAGTTATTCTTCACACGTTTCAGGAATCCACCCCCCTCCTTGCCCTTTACAGTCAGTCCACGTTAGGATGAATGAAGTCCCCCATTATCACTACCCTATAGGTTTGGCATCTATTCTGAAATCTGTTTGCAGATTTGCTTGTCTCTCTGCTCTCTCTATTTGGGGATCTATAGTACACACCTAACAGAGTAACAGCTCCTTTTCTGCTCCTTAACACTAAGCAAATAGATTATATTTTTGGACCCTTTAGCACATCGTCCTTTTTCAGTGCCATAACCATGTCTTTAATCAATATTGCCGGCCACCCCTCCTTTTCCTTCCCTATCCCACCTAAGTACATTGCAATAATAATAATAATAATAATAATAATAATAATCCTTGCATTTGATATAGCGCTTTTCACGTCGGGAGGACGTCCCAAAGCGTTTCACAGAACACACTGTAAAGTGAATTGACTGTATATTTGTGGGCGAACGCGGCAGCCAATTGCGCACAGCAATGTCCCACAAACAGTCATGGATTGAAAATGACCAATTTATTATTGTTTTTTTTGTTTTTTTTGGAGGGATTATTATTAGGCGTGTGGAGTAAGGAAACTTGCCCAAACTTGTAGCCAGGAATATTGAGCTGCCATTCATGCCCTTGTTTGAGCCAGGTCTCCGTTATTGCCATTACATCATAACCCCATGTGGCAACTTGAGCCGCAGCTTACCAACCTTATTTGTCACACTCCATGCATTTACACACATGCCCTCCAAGACCGACTGAGTCTGTTCTGCATTTTGCCCCCTATCTAATCCCTACTTTCTCTGGATTACTCCTTATTACATTGCTATTTATCTCTCCCAGCCCTCTATGTAACTTGCTTCTCCTCTCCCTGATGCTACATCCTGAGTGCTTTCCCCCTCAAAATTGGTTTAATCTTTCCCCACAACACTAGTTAACTTCCCTGCAAGGACATTGGTCCCAGCCCGGTTCAGGTTTAACCCATCTACCTTGTACGGTCCCTCCTAGACCAGAACTGGTCCCAATATTGCAGGAATCTGAAGCCCTCCTTTCTGCACCGTTTCTCCAGCCATGTATTCATGTGTTTGATCCTGCTGGTTTGATACTCACTTGCATGAGGCACTGGGAGTAATCCAGAGGTCATCGCCTTTGAAGAACTACTTTTTAGCTTATTCCCTAGTTTCTGATACTCAACATGGACCATAACTTCTGGATGTTTCCTTTCGCCATGTAGAATGTTTTGGACCCGTTCCGTGATGTTTTCAACCCTGGTACCAGGGAGGCAACATACCCTGCAAGAGTTGTTTTTGATTTCAGAAACGCCGTCTACTCCTTTCTCCGTTGTGTCCTCAATGACAATTGCATTGACACATTCTCTGTGTCACCCTGTGTAACCATTGGCTTTTGACTCTCCTCCCCAGAAGTGTCATTACCCTCACTGGTGTTCAGTACAGAGAACCGGTTTGTGAGTGCCACACTCTGACGGTATTTCTGCACTACCCGTCCCCTCTTCCTACCATGCCGGGTGGTCATCAATCACTCTCCTCATGAACCCACTTGTTCAAGATACAAACACACACATACAGACAAACTCACATATATCGACACACAAACACACACACACTCACACAGGCAATCACACATAGACACACACATGCATAGAGACAACACACAGACACACACACACAGACACACACACACACCTTTGTAGGATATGATGGTATCTGAGATGTCTTTGAAGATCTGTGCCAAACGTGCAGTGCGAGCGACCTCGATGTTCTCCTCCGCTGCAGCTAAGCGCCGGGTCCGCACTGAACGGGAGGTTTGTAGCGCGGAAAACTGGGTCATGAAAACATCTGAGGGATTGAGAGAAACAAACAAGTTAGACATTCCAGCACATCGCCCCAGCTCCGATTCAGATGGATACTTCTTGATTAAACTTTAGCACAGAGGTAACAACAACAACAACAACAACAACAAGATTCCATTTATAAAGCGCCTTTCACGTCAGGAGGACGTCCCAAGGCGCTGCACAGTTGGGTCAGGACCCGAGCTGGGGGGAATGGTCAGGGTTATGGGAGGGAAGTGAGGGAGCGAGAAGGGGGGAAATGGTCAGGGTGAGGGGAGGGAAGGGAGGGAGCGAGGAGGGGGAAGAGAGTCCAGAGGGGAGCTGAAGGCTGAAGGTCAAAGAGAAAGGTTTTGAGACCGACCTTGAAGGAGGAGAGGGAGGAAGCGGCGAAGGCACTGGGGGATAGAGTTCCAGAGCCTCGGGGCTGAGAGGCTGAAGGCCACCGATGGTAGGGCGATTGGGGCGGGGGACGTGGAGCAGACCGGAGCCGGAGGAGGTAAAGGTAAAGGTAAAGGAAGGAGACTGTCTTGAAGGGGAAAGACAAGGATTTTGAAATCTATACTATGTGTGATGGGAAGCCAATGGAGTCGGGCAAGGATCATAGAATCATGCAGCACAGAAGGAGGCCATTTGGCCCATGATGTCTGCGCCAGCTCCTAAAAAAACAATCCAACTCAATCCCACTGGCTCACTTTCTCTCCGTAGCCCTGCAATCCTATCCTCGCCAAACACCCATCTACAACTCTCTTAAAAGTTGCTAATGAATCGGCTTCCACCACCCTTTCAGGTAATGCATTCCAGATCCCAACAACTCGCTGGTGAAAATATTTTTCCTAACCTCCCCTCTGTTCCTTTTAACAACTCTCTTAAATCGGTGTCCTCAGGTTACTGTCCCACACGCCAGTGAAAACAGTTTTTCCCGGTTCAACCTATCAAATCCTCTCATGATCTTGAAAACCTCTATTAAATCCCCTCTTAATCTTCTCTGCTCTCGGGAGAATAATCCTAGTTTTGCTAACTTCATTCCTGGTACCATCCTGGTTAACCTCCTGTTCGCCCTCTCCAATGCCCTAACATCTGTCCTAAAGTGCAGAGCCCAGAACTGAACACAGTCTCTAACTGAGGCCTAACCACATTTTATAAATATTCCACATAACCTCCTGACTTTTGTATTCTATGCCCCTATTTATAAAACCTAGTATTCCGTATGTTTTTTCAACAGCTTTATCTTCCTGTCCTGCCACGTTCAGAGATTGCTTATATGAAACTCTCCTTTGCCTCTCCTCATTCTTCCTCACAAAATGCATCACTTCGCATTTCTCCACATTAAACCTCATCTGCCATTTTCTGCCCATTTTATCAATCTGTCTAAGTCCTCTTGGAGTCTGGTCCTGTCCTCCTCACCATTAACTACTTTTCCTAGCTTAGTATCGTCTGCAAATTTGGAAATTGTGCTCTCTATATCCAGATCCAGATCATTAATAGAGATCAGAAAGAGCAGTGGTCCCAATACCGACCCCTGAGGGATACCACCACACCACTCACTCCAGTCAGAAAAGCAACCATTTACTACCACTCTGCTTTCTGTCTCAGAGCCAGTTCTGAATCCATGTTGCCACAGTCCCTTTAGTACCGTGGGCTTCTATTTTGTTTATGTCTCTTACGTGGCACTTTGTCAAATGCCTTTTGAAAATCCATATAAACTACATCTGCTGCACTATCTTCAACCACCCTCTCAGGTCACTTCATCAAAACATTCTATTACATTTGTCAGACACAATCTGCCTTTAACAAATCCTTATTGACTGTCCTTTATTAAACCATATTTTTCTAACTCTGATGTTAGGCTGATTGGCCTGTAGTTTCCGGGTTTATCCTTCTGCCCCTTTTTTGTACAGAGGAGTAACATTCCTCCAGTCCTCTGGCATCACTCTGGTGTCTAAAGGGGATTGAAAGTTTGTGGCCAGAGCTTCCGCTATTTCCACCTTTGTTTCCCTCAGTAACCTGGGATGCATCCCATCCAGACCAGGTGACTTATATGTTGAGCACCGACAGCCTTTTTAGTACCTCCTCTCTGTTGATTTTTATGATATCCAATTTCTGTTCACACGCCTGCGATATTGTGGCATCGGTTGCATCATCTTCTTTTCTGAAGACAGTTGCAAAGTACTTATTTAGTACATCAGCCAATGCCCTCTGTCTCAACAAGAAGATTTCCACTTTGGTCCCTAATTGGACCCACTTTACCTTTGACTAACCTTTTACTCTTCATATGCTTTTAAAATACCTTAGGGTTTCCTTTTATGTTTCCTTCTAATCTTTTCTCATACAATCTCTTCGCCCTTCTTAT